TCTCAGGGAAATTCACCTCGATTGTTCTGACAACGTATGTCCATAAATAGATGAACAATTTTAATCACCTTCAAGCATGATTACATCACAATGGCTTAAAAGAGGTCTGAAATAAATAAATCCAGAGAAAAAGGAAAAAAATATATATTGTGGAATATTTTGAGTTCAAACGAGACCACGTCAGTCAAACACGAAGCTACATTAAAGCTGGGGAGAGCAATTGTTCGAGCTAGAGACTGCCTTCATGGAAAGTCAACACATGACACACCACAAGCTGATATCAGTGATGGCTGTAAAACTGATTTAATCAAAGCAAAATTTTATTGCGACTGGCAGGAAAAATTACCTTATACATCCAGATGCCCAACTGTTTTAATTTTGGACAATTACTTCTTATTGGGTGGGTCTGAGATAAGGTTGGACCGTATGACTACCAGTAAACTGGCCAAAATGAGGAATCTTAAGGTGTTTTTTACAATCGCTTTGAAAGTGGCTCGTCCAATCAGAATTTAGAGTCCCATCAATCAGTTTTATAATGTTAGATGTACAGTTTTGAGTCTTTTGTTTATAACTTTTATTTTGAACTGATGCTAGACTTTTTCATTTGTTCATTGTTAATAATCTTGTTAATTTTCATCAAAAAATCTAGATGATAAATTTAGATGATGTACCTTTTGCTTCTAAAAAATGTATTCAATGGCTTTGAGGAATAGGTATTACCATATAAATATTAAAATATTTTTTTTTAAAGAAATGAATACTTGTATTCAGCAAGGATGCATTAAATTCATCAAAACTGTAAACATTTATAATGTTAAAAAGGAGATCTGTTTCAAATAATTATATTTAATTCTATTAAATTCTATTTTAACAATAAGAAGAAATGTTTCTTGAGCACCAAATCAGCATATTAGAATGATTTCTGAAGCAGGATCATGTGACACTGAAGACTGGAGAAATGATGCTGAAAATTCAGCTTTTTTATCACAGGAATAAATTACATTTTAAAATATATTACAATAGAACAGTTACTTTAAATTGTAATAATATTTCACAAATAACTCAGTTTTTATTGTATTTTTGATCAAATAAATGCAGCCTTGGTGAGAATAGGAGACTCCTTTCAAAAACATAAAAAAATCTCATCAACCCCAAACTTTTGAACAGTAATGTCTATTGTGATCTATACTGTTAATATGACATAAAAGTAAGATTTTGGTCATACCACCTACTCCTAGTCATTTGAATGACAGTTGTATGCTGCTTACATAATCTCATATACAGTGTGACGCCTCCAGCTGTGGGCAGGTTTCAGTGAGCGCATAACAGAACAAGCTTCTTTTACTGTATTATTTCATAAGCAGAAGCCTAAGGAATGTGTGGGTGTAATGACAGAGCTGGCGAAGATTATAGCAGAAGGAGAGAGAAAGAGGCACCCAAAGTGAATGAAGGACAGAGAACGAGCAGAGGTGTGCATGGTTACTCACGCTGGTGACTCGGCGATAGATTTGAGCGGGGTTCTGACACTCGGAGTACGGGTACTCAGAGGTAGCCATCTCC